GTAACCATAGGATTGATTATGATTAATGTAAATAGACGGTATAGATTAGTCGTGTTAGTTTAGTGAGTGTAAATAATCAGGTGGTTAGTTGCAAAGATTATGTATATATATAGAAGCTGTAATTGTGATTAGGGGTTGTACAGAATATTCAGATGAATAAAGCTTGAGTATTCAAGAAGTTTCCAAAAAGGTTCGTTTCTGCATTACTGTTCTTCATTCTTAGATTTGATCATCATATCTGATTCATATTCTTCTTCATTGATTTCTTGATGGTATCAGAGCAGGTTTAAGCCTGCTCTGCTATGCCTTCCGCTTTTATTTCTCTGATTTGATTGATCATCTTTTCGGTTCAAGAACCCTAGATTGCTAGAAATTGAAATTCGAAGTAGTGATTCTGATAATTCACTCAATTAAGATAGAACTTTACTGCTTTCTTGAAGGAAATTGATAATAGAAGAAAAATTGATCTTCTGATTGAAGAGCAATTACATGTACATGGATCGGAGAGTCCTGGTACTCGGATCATTTCAGTATTGTTGACAAGCAAGAACTATCTGATTTGGAGATCAGCTATGATAGTAGCATTAGAAGCAAAGATGAAAGTAGGATTCGTAGATGGCAGCTTCCCGATGCTGGCAGAAGCTTCTCCAATCGTGTTGAAGTGGAAGAGAGCAAACAGCATGGTATGTTCTTAGATCAAGAGCTCCATGGCACCTGACCTGATGAATCAATTCATGTTTGTACATGATACAAGAAAGCTTTGGAAAAGTTTAGAGCAGCGTTTTGGTAAGACTAACCTGCCTCGTCTGTTTGGATTAAAGAGGGAAATTGCATTGCTTAGGCAAGGAAACTTGACTGTTAGTGACTACTTTAGAAAAATTGAACAAATCAAGAATCAGTATGAGGAATTAAGACCAACTCCAGAGATAGAAAGAGGAATTGGGGATTTGGTTATGCAAAAATAGAATGAAGATCGAGTTATGGAGTTTATGATGGGACTTAATGATGTATATGAACCAGAGACAAGTCAAATACTGTTTATGGACCCTATACCATCGGTTGACAAGGTGTATCACATGATCACAACTACTGAGAAACATAGACAAGTGAGCATTCATATAGACAATGCTGCAATGATGATGCAGGGAACAGAAAATTCAGCTATGATAGCAAGATCTACTGGTTGGAAGAAGGATATGACAGAAGGAATCAAGGACATCAGGGCTACCAAAAGGTTGATAAGAGCCATTTGAAGTGTTCTCACTGTTTGAGGCCTGGGCATCTGATTGATGGCTGTTTTAAGCTTAAAGGTTATCTAGATTGGTGCCCTACTTTGAAGAGAAGAAAACCAGGATTTAACGCAGCAAAAATGATTGAATATTCACAGGGTGCTGGATCATCAATGAATCAAAGAGTGACTCAAAATGCTTCTAATCATGCATATCCAGCTGGGAATTCAGGTGGAATAGTGCCTTATGGACAGCAGATGCATACACAGACTTACAATCATGGAAATGTGAGTATCACGCCACTGGACTTTGGCAGTGATGGATCAGAATCATATCAGCAGATGTTCAACAATGCAGTCCAGAAGGAGGTTGATAGAATTAGCAAAGGGAAAGCCATTGTGAACACTGGAGCAGGACATACAGTCTACATGGCACATTTCCATGAGTTTGCGGGTAGTTCCACTTTTGCTCTTGCTTCCTGGTTTACTAATGAAATAAGTGGAACTGCATGGGTAACAGATACTGGAGTTACAAGTCATATGTGTACGGACATCTCTCTCATGCATCATGCAAAACCTTTTGATTCCTTTACACCAGTTTGGCTTCCTGATGGAAGTATAAAAAATGTTAGTCACTTTGGAGATGTGTTTCTTTCAGAATCTGTGACTTTATCCTCTTGTTTATATCTGCCTAGCTTTAAATACAATTTGTTGTCTATTAGAAGACTAGCTAAAACTTCAAACCTGTTTTTTCAATTCTATATAGACTTTTGTCTACCGCAGGACCTTAAGACTGGGAAGGTCCTTGTAGCTAGAAGAGTGATCAGAGAACTATACGTTCAGGACTCATATTCCTTTACTCCTGAAGCTATTGAAAGATCACAGGAATTCTATGCTTCTTACATGATGTCACTTAGGAATCCTAGTCATCCAAAGGGCTTTGATCAGACCTGTAAAAGTGTTTCTGGTATTGTTCCTTCAGCAATACTTCATTCCAGATTAGGTCATCCTTCTTTCGATGTACTAAATCATTTGAATGATTGTAATGTCATTTTTTACAAGAATATCAAAGATTATCAATGTGAAATATTCCCTCTTTCTAAACAGACTAGATTGCCGTTTCTTTTAAGTAATTCTATAAGTGAGCACTGTTTTGATCTTGTTCATATGGATGTTTGGGGGTGTTTTCAACAAGGGACTATCACTGATTGTCATTATTTTCTGACAATAGTGGATGATCATTCTAGATGCACCTGGACTTTTCTTTTTCCAGCATAAGCATCAAGTACCAAATTTGATAGAAAACTTCTATAATATGGTTCCGACACAATTTCAAGCCATTATCAAGATCATCAGGACTGATAATGGAACAGAATTTCTTAACCATTCCTGCTTCTCCTTCTTTAATCAAAAGGGCATTCTTCTTCAAAGAAGTTGTCCATATTCTCGACAACAAAATGGAATTGTAGAACGCAAACATAGACATTTGTTTGATGTGGCAAGATCCTTACTGTTTCAGTCTAAACTTCCAAAAAGTTTTTTTGGGGGAATCCATATTGATAGCCACTTATCTTATTAATAGATGGCCTTCCAAATTGCTTAGTTGGCAATCACCATTTGAAAGATTGTTTCATGTTAAACCTGATCTGTCACTGCATAGAAATTTTGGATCTCTTTGCTTTGCAATGAATAATGGTCCTGGCAGGGACAAGTTTGATCCTATAACACTTAAGGGCATTTTTGTTGGTTATCCTACAAGGCAGAAAGGTTACAAAATATACTGTTCATCTCTTGAAAATATCATTATTTCTAGGGATATTGTTTTTCATGAAACAACATTTCCTTCTTTATTAGAAGCTAAGACTGATATTCCTCTTCCAGTTGTTTCTATTCCTGATGAAGATGATCATTCTTCAGCTCCATGTGATAATTCTCTAAATCCTACTTCAGAACCTTCTTTCTCATCTTCATCTTCCTCTCCTTCTCCTGATCAACCTCCTATACAACCTTTTAGAAGAAGCACTAGAACTCATAAGCCATCAGTGCTTTTAGATGATTTCTATACATTTCATTGTCAAGTTCTACCTGATTTTTTTTCCTTTTTCTGACCAGACTTGTTTTCTTAGTCCTGCATATCATGATTTTATAGCCAATTTATCTGTTATCGTGAGCCTACTCATTATAACCAGGCAAGAACAAATCAGAAGTGGATTGATGCCATGAACCAAGAAATTCAGGCCCTTGAAGATAATCACACCTGGGAACTTACTACTCTCTCACCAGGAAAGAAAGCAGTGGGTTCCAAGTGGGTATACAAGGTCAAGTGTAACCCAGATGGTTCGATGGAACATTATAAAGCACGATTGGTTGCCAAGGGCTATACACAGGTAAAAAGAGAAGATTTCACTGAAATTTTTTCACCAGTGGCCAAGATGGTTACTTTTAGAATGATGTTTGCCATTCCTGCCTCTAGAGGATGGTCCGTCTATCAACTTGATGTCAATAATGCTTTCCTACATGGAAGCATTGATGAAGAAGTGTATATGTATCCACCATTGGGTTATACCAAGGTAGAAAAAGGTCAAGTGTGCAAATTAAAGAAATCACTTTATGGTTTGAATCAAGCCAGCAGACAATGGAACAAGGAGTTTACTTCTAAGCTTCATAGCTATGGTTTTGCTTAGTCTTACCATGATCATTGTTTTTTTACTCTTCAACAGGTAGATCATCAGTTATTCCTCTTGGTGTATGTAGATGATGTTCTCATTACAGGAACATCAGATGTTGAAATTCAGAAGGTCAAGTTTTTTTTTTGGATGCTGCTTTTACCATAAAGGATCTTGGTCAAGCAAGATACTTCTAAGGCATGGAGATTGCTTGTTCTGCTTCTAGAATCTACCTTAGCCAGAAGAAGTACATTACTGATTTGCTCCAAGAGACAGGCATGCTTGATTGCACTCCCACTGCTACTCCTCTTCCAAAGGATCTCAAGTTTCCTTCTAAAGAAAAAGATCCTTCTCCTCTCTATCACAATCCTGAAAAATACAAGCGACTCATTGGAAGGTTGTTGTATCTGAATTATACCAGGCCAGATCTCACTTACTCAGTTCAACAACTGAGTTAGTTTGTTCATCATCCTCATGATTCTCACTGGAATGTAGCACTTCATATTCTCAAATATCTTTCAGGATGTGTTTCAAGAGGTCTTTTCTATCCAACTGCAACTGATCTCTCACTAAAGGCTTGCAGTGATGCTGATTGGGGTTCTTGCAAAACTTCTCGGGATTCTATTACTGGTTACTGTGTGTTCCTTGGCAGCAGCTTGGTCTCCTGGAAAGCAAAAAATTAAGCTACCGTCCTTGTTCTTCAGCTGAGGCAGAATATAGAGCCATGGCTGCCACAGTTAGAGAACTTCAATGGATGAGCTATATATTGACTGATTTCAGGATTCCATTGTCTTCCTATTCCCTTTCTATGTGATAGTCAAACAACATTGGACATCACTGCCAACCATGTCTGCTATGAAAGGACTAAGCACATTGAGATAGACTGTCATGTAGTCAGCGACAAATACAAGGATGGTTTTATTCTTCCTCAACACATCTCCACCTCACAGCAACTTGGTGACATTTTTACCAAGTCCCTTCCTGTCTCGTCATTCTCTTACATCCTGTCCAAGTTGAGCCTTTGGAATGCTCAACTTGAGGAGGGGGTATTACAATCATCAACACATTTATCATCACCTGAAGGATCATCACATGGAGAGGATGCCATGTCAGCAGAAGCAGGACCACTTCTAGCTGTTGCATGCATGGCAGATGAAGAGTCACGTGCCCATACTTCTTCCTCTGATCTTCATCAGCAATGCTGTGGTCTTGGAACAAGTGCAACTCTCACAGCTTCCCGAATATTCACTCATCCAAGTCATAAATCCAAACTTTACAAGGTGCCTTGATTCAGCAACCGTAGGATTGATTATGATTAATGTAAATAGACGGTATAAATTAGTTATGTTAGTTTAGTGAGTATAAATAATCAGGTGGTTTGTTGCACAGATTATGTGTATATATAGAGCTGTAATTGTGATTAGGGGTTGTACAGAATATTCGGATGAATAAAACTTGAGTATTCAAGAAGTTTCCAAAAAGGCTTGTTTCTGCATTACTGTTCTTCATTCTTAAATTTGGTCATCATATCTGATTTATATTCTTCTTCATTGATTTCTTGAGAAAAAGAAAGGTGCTTCAAGATATTCAATGACAATGTGCTGGAGTTCATAGAGAATTTGAACAAGAGGTTGTAAACAGGCCGTACAAGCTAGGAATCAATCGATTTGTAGATCTTACTAATGAGGACCCATCCCATGTATGATTAGGTCATTCTTCATAATTTCAGGAAGTTGTTGGGCGTTTTCAGCATCCAATTGGAGCAATCACGAAACTTATAACCACTGGAAAATTAATCTGAGTCTCAGAACAAGATATACGAGTAGATTACGATAAAACCAAGGAAGACCAAGGCCATGAAGGTGGAGACGAGGAAGATGCATTTGAATTTATCATCAAGAACAAAGGTGTAGCATCTGAAGCTGCTTACCCTTACACTGAAGCCAATGGAAAGTGCAAAAAAGAAAAAAGGCCTTTGTAGAATTACTGCGTCTGCTTCATATCCAATAGCCGAAAATGATTAGTGAATCTTTTAATACTGTTGAATTGTGTGAGTGGAAAGTTAGCCAGTTCTACTTGTGAAGTATTAGTGAATAGTGATGGCATATATGACGTTTCTGTTGGGATGTTAAAGTTGAACCCAACAAAAATATAAATAAAAGTAAACTCCCTTGCATGATGTATCTCTCTTGTTTCCTTCCTTTCCCAGATGGAAAAACCCCGCGATGGACTTAAGGATAAAAGTACAAGTAAAGGGAACTCCGTTTAAGTGTGTGCTTAACAGGAAGTATTGTGCAATCTGCTAGAAAAAACAGTGAAACTATTTAGTGGAGTCATGACATTTGTGATGTGTGTTAAAAGACATAGTGGAGTCATTAATTACATGACATTTCTGATGTGTGTTGGACGACATAAATAGCTTTACACTATTTTATACACTTAAAAGAGAATAAGTACAGTTATTTTGTATTCATATACCACCAATAAATTATTTCACTGGACAAATTAATATAACTGTCTTTATTTATCATTCTGCTAAAAGAAAATCTTTAAAAAAAAACTCCCGAGGACTCAAATTAGGATCTTTTCCCTCACTGGCAGAGCAATTTATATGGTGAACCATGTGTTCCATATATGGTACATTTATCTAATTAATGCAATCTAATTATGGAATAAAAAATTAAGAAAAATTTAGTAAATCAATTCTTTCTCTTTCATCATGTAATTTCTCATACCATGCTTTCAAATATAACAGAAATAATATTCTAATAATTTTGTAACTCTTTCTTCTATTCATAATTACTGACTTTTTCATCTATTTATAATTACTGACGTAGTTTAAAAATTAGGAACAATTTAAATATAAAAATCATGAAATTTTGATATATATGTCATGAAAAATATTACTATAACTCATGAATTTTTCATAGAATGAGTATGAGCTATAAATATAAGGATTTTTAAATATTTAGTTAATATTTTTATGTTCTTTGTTTGAAAATTTATATAATTCTCATTAACATTATTTTATATGGGTATGAATATAGATTACTTATTTGCATTAGTCTTTCAATTCTCTAAAAAAATTGTGAAATTTGGATACACATGATATGATATGAAAAGTATGATAGTTTTAATACAAATTTATATTAAACACAACTAGAGTTCCTATGTAGGGGCACTATGAAAAATCGATTTGTGAGTACGATATCTATTTTAAAAAATCTTGGTTGTCTTTTCAACGATATCTATTTTATAATGGACAATAATTTTATGTTACCTTCATTTACTTTAATCTATCGCTTTAACTTTTATACAAACATTAAGAAAACAATGATTGAGATTTTAAATTTTAAGTGTATTGTCTTCTTGTTAAAAATATTAAAATTCTACAAAAATTTGAAATTGGAGTTGTGTTGAAAATAAATAATTGTAATTAATATATGTTATTCAAAGTAGAGAGATGAGGCTAAAATTTAAAAAACTGTATTTGAAATAAAGTACGACAGATTACAAAAAATAAATTTTGGGTTCACCCTGCTGCGACATATTAAAGAAAAATGAAGGTTCTAGATAGAACACTGTTCTAGAATGTTAAGAACCCTAAACGATTTGACTAGTTCATGTTTTACACTATTTGTAAACATCCACGCAATACGTGCATGGATCGACTTGTAAAATCACTAGACACTAATTAATAGAATCTTGGACTTGTGTTGACTTAATTACTTCTAGATGAAAATACAAAACTTAATACCCGAAAGGTTAAAGGATCGTCGAGTAGGACTTGTAGCTGTTGTAAGCTATACAAATTCACATGTGCTTAATTAAAAGGAAATGCAAAAAAAATGCAAATAAATTTCCGGTTAATAGACTCTTGGACTTGTTCACTTAATTACTTCTAGATGAAAATACATCATCTTCACTGTCCCCACACTCCAGCATTTGAGCTGCCATGAGTCTTGATTGTTATTGGTTCTGTCGCAATTAATCTAATAATTCATGTGATTTTTACGGTAAATAAAGTGGTGATCCAATTCAGAAAGCACTTTGGTATAATCAATTCGTTGGGTTGGTGTGAATAGCATCTTTGCCCGCTGCTTTTTTTTTTTTGGTTTTTGGTGTTTTTTTGGTGAGGTTATCCAAGGTTCTTCATGTATTAGTCAGAGAACATGAGATTCAAGCATTATCTTTTGGGTTTGGACCCATTGAACACACCTTAATGAAGCCGTTTAAGTATTAGACTTAGAAGGACCGACTCTAATTGAGTTTATTTGTTTTTCCCAAAAGATAATCTTGGTAATAATCTGTATACACCTCCAAAGAATCAAACCATTAATTCTACCTATATCATCATGTTCTGACAATGCGTTACGAAATTTTAACTTGCGAAACACATTTTAATCTCAGCATCGGTCCAGCGACCAATCCCTTGATACAGCTAGATCAAATCTTAATTCAAACAATTCTCAACCTATGTCGTCCCCATTAACAAAACTGGTCAAAAACACACACACGTGCACGTTGCATTCAAGTTTTTATCATAATTTTTAGAAAAGCCAACCAACAAAAAGATAAACAACAAAAACATTAGTCAAAAGATAATCTTCTCATTCAACCTTATATATTATTCCTTCAGTCAAAAAGAAGCACACGCACACGTTCAACACAGATCTTTATTTTAATATCTTCATTTGTGGAGGATCCGTCGTCCATGCATGCATATATATACCAAGCTTTGCTACGAACTCACGTACCAAACCAAACAAAGAAAGAAACCATCCCTTCATTTAGAAAAAGGTACCTTCATCAGTACCCTAGCTAACTCAAGCATAATTATGAAATCATTCCTCGTTTTTCTCTTCCTTTTAGGATTCTTGGCAGCTCAAACTGCAGCAAGATCACTCAATGATCACACTCTAATGATCGAGAGACACGAGCAATGGATGAGTCTCCACGGACGAGTTTACCAGAACGCTTTAGAGAAAGAAAGGCGTTTCAAGATATTTAAGGACAATGTGGAGTTCATAGAAAATTTCAACATGGTTGGAAACAGGCCGTACAAGCTAGGCATAAATCGATTTGCAGATCTTACCAATGAGGAACTCAGAGCCACCCATAACGGATTGAAGGCTTCATCCTCCCCAAAGTTGTCCAAGTCTACATCATTCAAGTATGAAAATGTGACTAAAGTTCCTGAATCCATGGATTGGAGGAAAAAAGGCGCCGTCACACCTGTTAAAAATCAGGGCATGTGTGGTAAGAAATTCAAGTATATCCTTTGTCTCAGTAAAATGCTCTACTTTGTTTAACTAAAAACAGTAGAAGTGTATTTCATCTGTCATAAAATGATCATCATGTACTCCCACGATCTGAAATGATTGTCCAGTTTGAATTTTTATTTTCAGTTCAATTGTACTAAAACTTTAAATGCAAACTGGATAATAATTTTGGGAGATACATTTGCCGTACTAAATTTTTAAAAAAAGGTATGACAACTAGGATGATCATTTTGACGATGGATGAAATATATATGTTCTACAACATTCCGTTCGGTGTGTGGGCAGAAAAACCTTTTGGGATTTTGTCCTAAACCATAATTAATAACACAACACTTTGGATCAAATATATTTCCTCGGTCCCAAATTATGTCCAGTTTAGATTTTTACTTTTAATTCAATTTTATACTAAAAATAAAATTCAAACTGGACAATTATTTCGGGACAGGAGTATATATTTTCGGATCCATGTAATATATCAATAATTTCGGGACTCCCCTTGTTTGATTAGGGCAAACTTTCGTGGTTTTCACTGAGTCAGATTTGCATTTCAACAGGAAGTTGTTGGGCGTTTTCAGCTATTGCAGCGACGGAAGGGATCACCAAACTGAGTACCGGAAAACTAATTTCACTCTCAGAACAAGAAATAGTAGATTGCGACCGAACCAAAAAAGATAAAGGCTGTAAAGGTGGATACATGGAAGATGCATTTGAATTCATCATCAAAAACAAAGGTATCGCATCTGAAGCTGCTTACCCATACACTGAAGCCGATGGGAAGTGCAAAAAGACTAAAGGAGCCTCACTCACGGCAAAGATCTCGGGTTATGAGAAAGTACCCGACAACAGCGAATCAGCATTGTTGAAAGCCGTGGCGAATCAACCAGTTTCTGTCTCCATTGATGCAAGCAGTGATGCTTTCCAGTTCTACAGCAGCGGAGTCTTCACCGGAGATTGTGGAACCGACCTCGACCACGGTGTCACGGCGGTTGGTTATGGGAAGACTTCTGATGGAACAAAGTATTGGTTAATCAAGAACTCGTGGGGCAAAAGTTGGGGAGAGAACGGATACATGAAAATTCGACGTGGTGTTGCTGCTAAAGAAGGCCTTTGTGGAATTGCTATGGATTCTTCATATCCAGTAACTTAAAAGAAAAAGTGAATCTTCAATCTCACTGAATTGTGATCAGATGGATTAGAAAATTTTGATTGTAAGGTGATGGTATCATCTCAGCTAATTTTCTGTTAGGTTAAAGTCTTGCGGTGATGTAATCCTTTGTGTTTGTGCTTCAATTCCAGTAATAAAATAAACCATGTTTGAGTGTGCTTATATAATATATACAACCCTTTTGTTGGACATGCAAGGCAGAACTATGCTCTCTATAAAATTTTGTTTGTTCGAGTCAAGGTTTCTTTTTTCATTTTCCGACCATTTTATCCTTTGGGATATAAGAGATTAATTAATCAATGAGCATATTGCCGGAATAAGCATGTTTGTTTGTTAAATTTAAACTCTTGGACTCTAAAATAGGCGTAAAAAGATTAAGGATAGGGACACTATTTCTAGCGTTTCATGACAGGAATTGACAATTTTAATACAAATTATTATATTAAAAATGTAGATAATTATTTCGGGATAAAGAAAATAATAGTAGATTGTGACAGAACCAAAAAAGACAAGGGCTGCCACGGCGGATACATGGAAGATGCATTTGAGTTCACCATCAAAAACAAAGGTGTTGCTTCTGAAGCTACTTACCCCTACACTGATTCCAATGGAAAGTGCAAAAAGACTAAGGAGCCTCACTCGAGGCCAAGATCTCGGCTTACGAGAAAGTCCCCCGGAACAGCGAATCCGCGCTGTTGAAAGCCGTCGCTAACCAACCGGTTTCGGTGTCTATTGATTCCAGAGGTATTCAGTTGTACAGCAGCGGAGTATTCACCGGAGAATGTAGAAAACGCCTCGACCACGGCGTCACCGCGGTTGGCTATGGGAAGACTTCCGATGGTTCTAAGTACTGGTTGATCAAGAACTCGTGGGGCAAAAGTTGGGCGAGAATAGATACATCAGAATTCAACGTGATGTTCCAGCTGAACAAGGCCTTTGTGGGATTGCTATGGATTCCTCATATCCAATTGCTTAAGAAAAAAATTATTGAAAAATCTTCAATCTTATTGAAGTATGAAATGGGTAATAAGCTAGATACATTTTGTGTTTTGTTAAATCTTGTGTGATGTAATCCCGTTGCGTTTGAGCTTATTTCAGTAATAAAATGAACCATGTGTGCGTGTGCTATAAAATAATACTGTATACTAAAACCATTTCCTGCTTTACCGGACATGCAACATACTCCCTCCCGTATTTATTATTAGGCATTTTGATTTCGTCCTATGTTAATCTAGAATATTTTTTTAATTAGGAAAAAAAACTTTAAAAATATATTTTTCATATTTGTTGTATTCTCCTAATTATTATGAAATATTTTTAAGATTTTTATTTCAATTAAAAAGGCATCCTAGGTAAAACCTAGAACAAATCAAAATGTCTTATAATAAGGACCGAAGGGAATAGAACTTGCTATCTTTACGAAATTTTTTTTGTTCAAGTCAACGGTTCCTTTTTTTTTTTTTTTTACACCTTTTTCAGTTATTTTATACTTTAGGATATATTTCCTCTGGTTTTTATTATAAAAAATTTTGATTTCTAATAAGTTTTATTTATTATGTTTTTACAATTGGAAATAAAATCTTAAAAAAGTTTTATAATAATCAATAAATATGAAATTATATTTTTAAGGTTTTATTTTTAATTGCTGAAACTCATTGAAGATGAAAATTCCTTATAACAAGTACGAGAGGGAATAAGAGATTCGATAAGCATGCTGATATTGTAAAATATAAACCATTGTTGACATAAAAAAAAGGTGTGAAAAGATTAAATTAAAGATGGAAATACTATTTCTAAAGTTTCATGATGGGTATCGACCCGACCTCAGCAACAATAAACTAATCTATGCGTGCATGATGACGAGATTTATTCAAATTGGCTAAACCTTTGGGGTCCTAAATGTTCGATATCCAATGTTGAAGTTGAACCCAACAAAAAAGATAATAAAAAATAAAACCCCTCCACGGTGTGCTCCTTTTAGAGTTGATTGCAGTCTAGGGCGAAACATATTTTATATTAAGATGGTGGACACGATCGAGGATAAGAATGAAATAAAGCCACTTAGTGCGTGCTTACCAGAAATTATCGTAAATGTGCAAGCTTCATAAATTTTAAATCAAGTAATTAATGAAGATTCCGTACAACAAAATAATCACATCACAATAATTACGGTTTATTGGTTATTAGAACGTTGCGCAGTTAGCAAATTGAGGTTCAATTTCTACCTTGGCGCGAAAATGGGAGCTGGATAAGTTTGTAGCTGTAAAAACATTACTCTATCGAGCAGATGGAAAAGAGAGAAATCACCAAATGCTATTTGTACTTTTTTTTTTCTTTTAGATATAATTTGCGGTTGTCTACCTCAACAACAGTGAGTAATTTTCGTCGTCAATTTGTGTCTGTCCCTAAAAAAGTATTTCGCAATAAAATTTAAAATTTTTATTAAAAAATAATTATACAAATGTCAAAATTTTATGTGTACTAAGAGAGAGTATTTAAATTATTTCGCGCGACCATCTCACAAAAATCTTATCTTCAATTCATAACATTTCTAGAGTTGCTTGCCTTCATAATATAGGCCATGAATTCGTTTTTCGTTTTTTCCTTCTTAAAACGAGTATTTCTTGAAATGAACAACTCATGCTCTATTCTTCTTACTGATTGATGCTGGAAAATCACACAATTGATCCTTGAAGTAATTTAACTCATGGAACTTTTTTCCGGAGAATATAAAATATATGGTTTTATTTCCTAGTCCCTCGGCTTCAATAATTCGGCCCATTCGAAAGCGCCCGGTAGAATTTTTGCTGCTATGTGATTATTTTTCTGGGAAAAAAAATCTTAAAATGTTTGAAGAAATGGGTGTACGGAAAAAAGCTACATATTTTCAAGTATCTATCGCCAAATAACTAAATATATTGTTCTAATATTAAGAGTTTGAAACGATTTAACTAGATTATTGTTTGGACATTATTCATGAACATCCACAATACAAGAAATGATTCGTACATATAAGTCAGTAGAAACTTATAGAATCTTGGACTTGTTGACTAATTACTTCCAGATGAAATAGCATCATCTCTAGGGTCCCGGCCCACTTCCCACCATTGTAGCTGCCATGATCTTTACTTGTTCTGTCGCGATTAATCTAATAATTCTCGTGATTCTAACGGTTAGTCGGGTGGTGATCCAATTCAGAAAGCACTCTAGTTAATTCCTCATTCTTTCGTATTGGAAGAGAAACTTCTGAATTCTGATTCATATGCTATATAAGAGTTTCAAGCATCAGTTTCAAAAAAAAAAAAAAAAGAGTTTCAAGCATTATATTAGGACACCATGTGACCTCAAACTTAGAACGACCGACTATGACACCATATTGAAATGATTGATTTTTCAAATCAAAATCTAGGTAAGAGTGGAGAGTTCAATAAATTAATACTCCCTCTTTCCAGAAATTATTGTTCGATTTAAATTTTTATTTTTATTTCAAATAAAACTAAAACTGAATATTCAAATTGGACAATTATTTTAAGATGGAAAGAAAATCATTATATATCCTATTAAAACAGAAATCTAAGAGAATAAAAATGTAGAGGTGTACTATGTGATTAAAAGTTTTCCCTCCAAAAAAAATGTTGACTACATAAAATAGATACTTATTACATATCCATATAAAAATTAGTTCGTTATATTATTAGAAAGAGAAATTTTAATTACGCAATTTACTCTAATTCAGCATTTTCTTGCAAGAAAGTGACGTTGTTAATAATAAAAGAAATTATCAAATTTCACGTGTAAAATCACGAAAAAAATTCAAACAAACCATTTTTGTTACATTCAAACTAAAAAATGTTAAATTTCGCGGGAAAAATTACAAGAAAAATTTCAAGTAACACATTTTTCTTATATTCAAACTCATTCATCCTAATACCAATCTAATTAAAAAAAATATTGAAAACTCACGAATAAAATTACAAGAAAAATTCAAATAAAACCTTCTTCTTATATATATTAAAACCTAAAGAAATTTAAATTGTAAAAATATTAATACCATTTCATTTTCAACCTTCTTTTCTTAACTTATTTTTATCGTTGGATTATTCTTGCATCATCCCTTTATTATAATTCACAATCAGCCATTAATCAAGTACGAGGTATTTTTTCATAACTATTTATTGATTTAATAATAAATTTTAATATATGTTCTGTGCAACTCACGGAAAGAACCTAATATACTAATTATTACTGCATTTTTAAGGGAGGGGGGCGGGGAGGGGATAAGGTCTAGTGTTATAGGCCAAACAAGACTCTTCATTCACTCTAGAATAATTTTATACCACAACTCTATCACCATTTTGTGCCTATACATAGATCTGTAGCATACAGTTGTCCAATATCCACATGTCTGTCGGGAATTTATAGTCAGGATCTAATCATTTTCGTTCAATAAATTGATGGGGGAGAACACCGGTTAAGCAATTCCACCTAGATCTTGTTGATGTATAACACACTTAGGCAGGGATCCCAAAAGACCTTACTACAGTCCCCTACTCTTAATGCTGCAAATGATGTCAAATAATTGGCTATTCCTTCTCTTTTAAAATTATTATCATATTTAAATTTTCACTTTTAAAAATACAATATTTTAACCTTGCGAAACAAATGCATGTTTAGTCTCCACCACCATTGGTCGACCGACCAATTAGTTCCTTGTCGTAGAATAAATCTTGATTCAAATAATTTTCTCAACCCATGTCATCCCCCCATTAACGAAACTGGTCAAAAATACACGTGGACAACATCATAATCTTGTAACTTTAAAGAAGCCAACCACCGAAAAGGTGAATAGCAACAATATTAGTTAAAAGAGATACTCTTCACATTCAAAAGGGAGAAGAAAAAAAACGTGTATTAATGATCATGCATTTCTTAATATTTGGAGATTCATCATCAATAATTGGGAGGAGACATTCGATCCTCTCTCCACCTTCCTCAAAAGAAGATTTGTTGAAGGGCGAAGAACCCTAATAGGGTCTCACTGGGCATGTCACTTGACGAAGCATGAAACCGGCACTGTTGATTCCAGTTGATTGAATCGGCGGCTATGTCGGTTATGAAATCCTAAAACCTACAAGACAGAGCCTTGGGGTCTCCCGAAGGTAGACTCTTCGATGCTTGAGTCAGTAAGAGTATTCGAAAGAGAAATATATAGTTAGGGTGCATAGACCGTACCTTTGATATGAGGGGTAGACCCCTATTTATAGAGCTAGGTTATGAAACCTTTTCTTAGTCGGAAAGTAATTATGAATCGACCTAAAAGTTTCCAGGGGCCGATTGGATCGTTTGCCGAACTTGGGCCGGCCTAGTCGTTGGCCATGTAATTAGGACTCGTCAATATTCTCGTCAAACTTTTTCCTTAGTTATAAGTGATTCTTGAGGTACTCACACTTCTCCTGTAAAACAAAGTATATAGATACTCATACACTTAAAGTAAATATGTTTAGTTAACTGATGTCTCAAACAAAGTATATATTTACCTTCAAACCTAGAGTACGAGCAATTTTGTTTTAATATATAGACTCATTCGAAACGAAATTGATGCTAAACTATTTTTTAACTCAACTTATTAAAATTTTATTCTTTAGGTTTTCTCTCAAATAAAAGGGACAGAAAAAGAAGGGAAGTTGCTCATCTTTTGGATGTGATGCATCCACTCCAAAACTAACCAAGACATACAATGACATGCAATTTAAAACAAATCCTAATCCAAGTGTGGTAGAGAAGCTATCCAACCGCTGCTTTTCGGTCATTAATACATAATTCTTTTAAAAATATTTTAAAATTTTCATTAGGTTCAAATTGCATGCACACCTCGTTTCACATACAAGAGGTTGACAATATCCAAACCAAACAGAAGATACATTGATGGGTAACTACAATTGAAGAGTAACACAAGAATCGAATGTAGTCCAGTGGTTTGGTGGTCTCGATTCTCAACGGGCGCAGGGTAGGGAATTTAGGATAGATTTGTGGAAAGGATAAAATGGGTAGATTAGGTAGTAAAAAAAAAATTAAAAAAAATCATCGCACACGAGTGCAGTTTATCTGTGCTTTCAGTTAACGAGGCAACTGGACTCTGAGTCTCTGAGTGAGGCAGCAATGAATCAGCACAAAATGCTAAGAAGCTAAACTTTCCTGCTGAGGAAAACTTGCTTTACATTCATTCTACACGTTGCCGTTTCAGAGAAGAATGGATAGGTTCGGTAGATGTAGCTAAATCACTATTGATGGAAACGGGCTCCCCGTCATTGGACACAAATCTCCAACCGGGAAAATCTAATTCCGAGAACAAAACACGTGGACTGGATTTATAGAATGCCAATGGGACCTGTTTTACCCTTCGCCTCATCTGCAAAGAGAATGAATGACGATACTTTACCACCACAAGTTTAAATCCAAATCTAAGCACCGTAATGCTGAATAAGCTTCACTATCTTGAGCAATGATGTGCCAGGCTAACAGAAATGTGTTGCCAAGACCCACACGCGAGAGAGGCATTAAAGAGGGATCGCAAAAAAATACCTCCTCGCCAAAAATGGTTGCATATGATCCAGAACTGAAATCTTTAACAGCAACTTCGGTTGTTTTGGCTCTAACCGTTAAATCATTCTCCAGGGACAACACAAATCTTTTGAAAAAGAAACAGAACAAATTTTGGCATCAGAATCATTCATGGATACAATCGGGAACATACTTATTAAAACATGCACCTTGAAATTGGTGGGCAGTAGTGATTTCCGAGAGTATCAATCTCCCACAGAGAGCTTCCTGCCAAATTGTTGCCATTAGCATGTTAGTTTTCAAATAGATTTCCAACAGAGTTTCCAACACATCTTCTCCAGATTCACAAGGATTTCTAATGTAAAGGAAATCAATTGAAGGGGGGAAGAAATTCCAGGAACTGCTAGAGTGCTAGTGAATTGCCGTTAGTAGTCATGGGTATCTCTTCCCAACAAATTATGATTTAAGAATCCTTGCAACAAAATCCAACAAGCAATGATAAGTTGTCAATGCAATTTGTCCGTCCTTTTTTACACGGGAGTTATTTTATACAATTAAAGGTGTTATAATTTCTACAATTTATCATGAGATTTTTACAATTTTTTTTAATCAATTTGTTAAAATATTTTTTTTTATATAATTCTCACAATTTGCCACGAGATTTTATAATTTGTGACACAATTTGTTACGAGATTTTTTTATATACAATTCTTATGCGAGATCATTATAAAGCAGGTTTGTCTCTTTCTATAAAATTAAAGGTGCCATTTTGATCTTCCTGGTACTTTTTTCATCGATTATTCTCACAGCAACACATCTTTACAGAATTTATAAAACTGAGGGTAGGTAAATGTACCGGTAACATGCAACACTTACTCATCACATTACTCTTTCTAGGGTCACCCTCTTCAACAATAAAAAGATCAACCCCTTGCTTCTTTCCAGCGCATGAGTTTTCTGTCCCATCGACACCACTCTCTTTTGCTTCTGAACTTTCCTTGGCACTCTCATCGATTTCTTCCTACAGCATTTAGGAAATTGGCCCATGATAAGTATATTGTTTTTACTGGAAATAAAGGATTGAGTATGCCACCAAATAGGACTTGTATTACTCGCTTCCAACTGCAAAGAAAACCTAAAAGTACAACCAAACTCAACAATTGGGGGAACTTTTGACCGGCTACACCAAGCATTGCATGCATAAATTCACCTCCGAAACAACAGAGCTGGAAAGCGGTGGACAAAAACCACATATTTTGCAGGGAAAATTTAGATTGTAGTAACCTGGTGCACCAAGAAGTTGATTGAAGCATGCCTCCGTAAAAGATTGTGAACTAAAGCAATAATGATTAGCGCCCCTGACGGTGGAACAGAAAGTGCAAGTCTACTCAGTTTCTTACAGAAAGAAGCAACCAAATATGCGGGGAGAAGTGGTGACTTCAGGCACGAGTCAAGCAGCTGCAAATGCAAGTAAAATTTAATGAAAAGCAAAAACCTCACTTCTAAATGCAGCCAAAACCTAAAAAATTCACCTGTACTTGGAAAAATTTAGCTCGATATCTAGCCATAAAGATAGAGGGCTCCAATAAAGCATACAGCTTCTCATAGAAATTTGGATACTCAAGACCGTGTTGTGTCATTAGGATAAAGACTGCTCGGTGCCATAACACTGATGACTCCTTCATTATCATACGATCGTGTCAAGAAATCACTGCAATGCAAGTGGTAATAAATAACAGGTATCTTCCTGGTAGTGAAGTACAAGTGTATACATCACAAAATAGCCAAAAGAGGTATAACATTTACCTAAGCATAACAGGATTAGATAGATAAGGAATTACGGCTACATGAAGAGATGCCAGAACCTGAGCACATATGTTAAAACTTAAAATTAGGAAGTGGAACAAAAATACATCTCAAAAGGCACCATACTGTATATGGAGGAAGCCACCAAAGAGAATATAACTATTTCAGCACCTTATAACAGAGGTAGATGTTGAAGGGTAGGCATGAAGTTGGGAGACATCCTAGTCGTAGGGAACAAAGATACTATACATTCAATGAACGAATATGATAAATCCGCACTTTGTACTGCACAAATAGGCTTTACCTGTTTGTATACATCTACAGGAAGGGTCAATGTAAGAAATGATAACCATGCTTTACTGAACTTAAGTTTCATCCTTTTTTTGACATCAGTTGCTGTGACATCCTGACAAGATATAATAGAAAGAAAACTGAGGTCATAAGAGGATAAAATCAATCCAGAAAGGCAAAGAAAGAAGGAAGTAGCGGCAAATGGCTGAGAAAGTTTCCTAAATGTCATTTGTACGAACCTTTTCATCATGCATTCCAAATATCTGAGTTTTTTCTTCTGATTTTGAAATCTCGTCGTGATTCTTATTATTGGGACGTCTAGCAAGAGCCCCAATACCTAGGATAGAAGATAAAATAAAATAAGAATTAGGTCTCAAAGGTGAACGAAGCATAGTTAGGCATAAGAAAATATTAAAGAATCCATGAATACAACATTGGAATATCATTCATTCAGTTCAACTGAGAAATCACCAGGATTCTTATCTCATCGAACTTGGATGATTAATGCAAATTACAACAGAACAAATAATTACAGAAATCCATGGAGACTATATTGGAATATCATCCATTCGGCTCAACTGAGATAATAACCAAGCGTCTTATCTCATCAAACTTGGATGATTAATGCAAATTACAACAGAACAAATAAATGTCGAGGAAGGACAAACAAAAATGTGCCCAAAAGTCAAGTCAACTCACACATGCTACCAATGTTTTACCCGCTCAAAACTGGAAACTAAATAAATCAAATATAACTATAACCAATGTCAAATTAATTTGACATGTTCTTTGTTCAGATGTATCGTTTAAAAAATATCAGGTGATATGGAATAAACTTATACAGTTCACTTGAAAGGACAAACAAGCAGATGCCAAGAAGTTGTCTAGGAAAGTCGAGAGAAAATTATCGATATAAAGAAGACGCATCAAATTTGGGGTGAAACTCAGAAGCAATAAATAACCTGCAGAACTCCACATCTCATAATCGGATGTCTCATTCGACCCGTTTAACTGTTGTATGTTTGAAAGGAGATGGCATATCTTGCGAATAGAGAGCTCCATGCTAAAAGAAAACATGACCAAAATTAGAATTTGTACTACTCTGGGTAACATATTTGTTACACCTGGAATCACAACAAGCTTTATGTACTTATAGTCAAATATCGTTTTAAAGTCACAGTAATTACAGATGAAAAAAAGCACCAAACACTAATTAAGTTCAAGACCAGTCACTCTTCTACTAAAGACATTTACCAGAAGCCCAAAATAATAAAAGAAAAATAATGAATGGAGCAATCAGACCATTCAAGACAGAAATTATTACAATGGGGAAAAAAAAAAAACTCTCAGACACTTATTGATGGTAAGAAAGGGATTCGAGTGAGTGCTGCCAAATACCCAAAACTAGTTGAACTGGGTGTACAATTCATTGTTGTATGTACAAAATACAGAGAGAGGAAAGGAAATCAATTTGACAGCAACAACACCAGTCACTATAGTGGTGGTGGTGGTGGTGGTTGTGGGGGAATCATTATACAAGAAGATACTACAATGGGGCTACATTAAGAGAAATATGCATATATTTACCTTGCTCTTGACTGATTCCCTATATAAACCTCTGAAGTAGTTGATTTATCATCTGAAAGGCAAATTGAACTAATGAAGTTAACAAAAAAGGCTTCCTGGTTCACTTTCAAAGGTGAAACTAGGTAACCCAAGGGTGAATTTCACTAAATGGCAAAACAACAACAACAATAACAAGTCTTTTTCTCACTAGGTGGGGTCGGCTATATAAATCATATGTTGCCATCGCGCTCAATCGGTGCATAAATCATTGGACAAATTTAAGTATCTGAAATCATTTTTTATAGTTTTTTCCCGTGATTTCTTAGGTCTACCGTAACCCTTTTTAATTTGACTTCTTGATTCTATAGTTTCTACCCCTTCTATAGTTTCTACCCTCTTAACAGAAATGAAAAAACTAAAAAACAAATCATACAAATGGAAGACCAAAGGTACCTGCTTTGTCTTCAGACTCCAAATCGGAAGCGAAAGCGAAAGCAAAAGAAAAATGAATCATGATCCCAAAACTTTATGGAAGGATCTTGAAGAAATATTTGATCACCAACTTGAGCGATGCTTCCAACCGCCAAAGAAGAACGGAATGCATTATGCTTCCAGGACTTCAAAAAGGTTACTGACTATTATTCGGCATTGTTCCGGATAGTCTCTCGGTTGAGATACTGTGGAGAAACAGTCGTTGATGTAGACATGATTGAGAAAACATTATCCACATTTCATACTTCTAATGTTGTTCTGCAGCACCAATACAGATTAATGAATGTTAAAAGGTACTATGAACTAATTTCTAAACTTATGATTGCTGAAAAGAATAATGTAATATTGATGAGAAACCATCAATCTCATCCTACAAGGTCAATAGCATTTCCCGAAGCAAATGCTGTTGGGCCAAGTAATTTTGGAAAATACAATAACGGTGGACGAGGTGAAAATTGTGGCAGTGGTCGTGGCCGTGGCTGTAGACGTGGAAATGGAAGAAACTATAATTTTGGTCGTAATCATGCAAACGGTTACATTCCACAAGAAATACATGTCCAGTTCCAAAAAAAGAAAGTGAATAAAGGAAATATTCCTGATAAGCAGAAGAATGCTGAGAGCAAATGTTTCCGATGTAGTAATACAGGACATTGGGCGCGTGTTTGCCGAACACTACCACATCTTTTCCAACTCTACAAGGAATCAAAGGGAAAAGAGAAGGAAGCAAACCTTATTGAAAAAATGGATAGTGCTATAAACTTGAGTGCATTGGATTTCAGTGAAGACTTTGCTGATAATTAAGGGCAAATAGTTGCCCCACCAGGATGAAGTTAAAATTATGTATGGGTCTTAATGTTGTAATGGATCGATGTATGATCCTTGTGTTTAAGTGTATGATATTGATGGTGTAATAATAATGGATCGATGTTTGATCCTTGAGTCTAAGTGTATGGTATCAATGTATGAGTGTATGTCTGAATGAGTAGTCTTGGAATTGTAATAATAATAATGATCATTGTATGGTCTTATAATGTTATGAATCAATGTGTGGCATTATGTTTTTGAAAGGGTGAACTTGATAAATTTGATAATATTTATGTTTTGATTTGTGACTTTTAATTGTAATGTTCTCTACTTGATAATAACTGATTAATTATTTTTTTATTTGAAGTTTTGACAGGGAAATTCGACAAAAAAGCAGTGTTGGAGATTTTTGTATTGCTAACACTGGTACTACACATACTATTCTGAAAAACAAAGAATATTTTTTAGAGTTAAAGCCAACAAAGGCAATTGTGTATACAATATCATGTCCAACAGATTTGATTGAAAGGATTGGTAAAGCAAATGCCATATTGTCAAAAGGAACAAGAATTGTGATTAATGAAGCCTTGTTTTCACCAAATTCAACAAGAAACTCGTTGACTTTTGATGATATATATCGGAATGGGTATGACACCCAATCAATGAGTGTTGACAATGTGAAGTATTTGAATATCATTATTTATGAATCGGGAAAGACACGAATATTGAAGAGATTGCCATTTTCTAATGGTCTGCATTATACTTATATAAATGTGATTGAATCACATATGGCACTGAAAGGAAAGTTCTTCGATCATTCTGTAATGGGCATGAAAGATTAGGCCACCCTGGATCTATAATGATGCAAAGAATTATTGAAAATACACATGGTCATCCATTAAAGGGACAAAGGATCCCTCAGAATAATGGAATTCCATGTGAAGCTTGTTCTCTTGGAAAATTGACAATGAGACCACCATAATTAAAGATTCAAAATGAATCACCTATGTTTCTTGAAAGGATTAAAGGTGATATATGTGGACCGATACATCCACCATGTGGACCATTCAGATATTTTATGGTTTTAATAGATGCATCTAGTAGGTGGTCACATGTGTGTTTATTGTCAACCCCAAATTTTGCATTTGCAAATTCTCTTGCGCAAATTATAAAATTACGAGCTCAATTTTCTGATGCTATCAAAAGAGTTAGACTCGATAATGTTGGTAAATTTACGTTTCAAGCATTTAATGATTATTATATGTCTACTAGAATTACTGTTGAGCACCATATTACTCATGTACATACACAAAATGGTTTAGCAGAATCATTAATTAAAAGATTGCAGCTCATTGCTAGACCATTAATCATGAGAACAAAACTGCCAGTTTTTGTTTGGGGCCGTGTGATATTACATGCTACTTCTTTGATTCGTATAAGATCAAGTGCAGATCATAAATACTCTCCCCTACAATTCGCTTTGGGATATGAACCAAATATCTCGCACCTCAGAGTATTTAGTTGTGCAGTATATGTACCCATTTCACCTCCACAATGTACAAAAATGGTCCTCAAAGGAGATTAGGGATATATGTTGGTTCTGAATCAGCTAGTATTATAAGATATCTTAAGCCTTTAACAGGCGACGTTTTTACTGCACGTTTTGTTGATTGCCATTTTAATGAAATTATTTTCCCAACGTTAGGGGGAGAAAAGGAAGAATTGGCAAATGATATTACATGGAATCCACCAACTCTGTTAAATCTTGATCTTCGCACAAAACAATGCGAGAAAGAAGTTCAAAAGATTGTACATTTGCAATCAATTGCAAATCAATTGCCTGATTCATTTTCTGACACAAAAACAGGGACTAAATCATATAAAACAGCAACTAATGCTCCCACTCGTATTAAGATTCTGAAAGAAAAAATCGATTGATAAAGTCACTAGCGAGTCTAAACCACGACTGAAACGTGGTAGACCAATGGGTTCAAAGGATAAAAATCCTCGAAAAAGAAAGGGAACTGTGAATGACACTGATGTTGAGAAAATATCTCCTAAGATAATGAAGAATGAAGAAAGTTCCCAAGAAAAGGACACAAAAAGAATAAATAAAGAAATCTCAATCAACTATAACAGTACAAATATACTGTTAAATAGAGATGAAGTTGAATGTGACAATGAGATTTTTTGTTTCACAGTTGCAAATGAAATTATGAATGGGAATGATGATTCTGAACCAAAATCAGTTATTGAGTGTCAAAATAGACAAGATTGGATAAAATGGAAAGACGCTATGCAGGCTGAATTAGATTTGCTTAACAAGCGAAATGTTTTCAGGCCAATTGTTCTAACTCCAAAGGCTGTAAAGCCGGTAGGATATAAGTGGGTTTTTTTACGAAAACGAAATGAGAAAAACGAGCTTATAAGGTACAAAGCTAGATTGGTAGCACAAGGTTTTTCTCAAAGACCTAGAACAGATTATGACGAGACATATTCTCCCATTATTGATGCAATTACTTTCAGGTTTTTAATCGGCCTTGCAGTTTCTGAAAAATTAGAAATGCGTCTTATGGATGTTGTTACTGCTTATTTGTATGGATCACTTGATAGTGATATTTATATGAAAATTCTCGAGGTATTTCAAATGCCAAAAACTTTAAGTGCAAAACCCAAAGAGATGTATTCTATCAAACTCCAACGATCATTATATGGGTTAAAGGAGTCTGGACGCATGTGGTATAATCGATTAAGCGATTATTTGAGAAACAAGGGATATACATATAATGTTCTGTGTCCATGCATTTTTTTATCGAGAAAACAACATCCGAATTTTCTATTATAGCTATCTATGTGGATGATTTAAATATCATTGGAACATTAAATGAAATTAATGAGGTGGTTACATACTTAAAGGGGGAATTTGAGATGAAAGACCTTGGTAAAACTAAGTATTGTCTTGGTTTACAAATTGAGTATATGCACAATGGAATATTTGTGCATCAGTCAAATTACACAGAAAAGCTCTTAAAACGTTTTAATGTGGATAAAGCAAACCCTTTACGTACTCCAATGATCGTCAGAATACTCAAAACTGAGAAGGATCCATTTCGCCCCCCTGACAAGGATGAAGCGATTCTTGGTGCCGAAGTACCATACCTCAGTGCAATTGGAGCTCTTATGTATCTTGTTAACTGTAC